TTTATATCATAAAAAATTCATATCTTTTAAAATTTGAGTAGTTTACTATCTTTTAAAATTTATAAATTATATTTCAAATAATATGTGCCAAAAATTATATTTCATGAAGATTTTTCAAACAAAATGTTTAGAGATTAATTGAAACTTGTAACAAACAAAATAATTTTCAACTTTATCATATATAATTTATACTAAAATATCAGCCATCATGATGTATTTCAAAAAAATCTTGATTAAGTTCAATTTCAAAACAAAACAACTTTAAGTTGTTAGATGTATGATGATAAAATTTAATGTTTCAAAAATTTCAAAGCTTTTCATGAAATCACTTATAACACACACTTATATTCTACTCTAACTTTCCAACTTTGACATCTCAACAAGTAATCTTTAATTCTGAAAATTCTCCAATTTCAAATTCTTACGTAGCTCCATTTCTTATTAATTTTTTTGTTAAAATCATTTTATAATCAACTAAATTTGAAAATCTAATGAAAAGATTGATTGATTATAATTAGCTCACAATCAATTGATACAATTAGTCAGTCTGTTATTATATAAGTTTATTGGCGTGTAATTGTATAATTTTATTAATGTGTTAGTTGTATAATCAAGTTTGACTGGTGTATATTAAATTTAACTATTAAGTTTAAACTTTAACTTTCTATAAAAAATATTCAAGATTATTCATCATTTTATACTTTTTTATGAAAGTTTAGATTTCAAATCTATTTTTTTTAAAAACATGTTAGTTTTGATAGGTTCAACTGAGTAAAAACATTTGATTGATTGGACTAAATCTACGTTTGATTTAGTGGCAAATTATACATCTAGAAGTTTCAAAGTACTCAAAATCATGTTGCCATCTCAATTTATGTACTGTGAGTAGTAGAGAGATGGTGTAAGAGTATGTTTAAACAAGGACGTGTAGGTGAAATTTCAATCTTTAAAATTCATAATGAGTAATTAAAAAATCATAGAATATAAATTTCAGTGAAAATTAGTCTAGATTTCCGGAATCTAAGCTCTCAATAACAAAAATTAAATACTTTTTAGAAAAGCTGTACTTGAACGTAATCTCACAAAATTGAATAACGTTTATTAATTTTATTGCTTGTATGTTTGCTTTGTTTTCTTGTGTTGATAATCTAACAACAAATGTGTTGCTAAAAATCCAAAAGATTTCAAAAAATTTGTCAAATAGCTTTCATTGGTCCAAATTTATTCACTGATGTGATTAAAGAGAGAATTTTGACATCAAATGAGTACAAAATAACTCAATATTGATTTACATATTTAAATCCATCCAAAATACACTACTGAATCATATAAAAAAATCTTTAACTTGGATTTGGTAAAAAGTCAAAATCATGAATTTACACTGAGCAAGTATAATTGGGATTAGAAAGTTGATTGAAAAATTTATCATTTGAAGATAATACTCTTCATAAATATAATTAAAATAAAAATTTCTATAAAATATCTTGGAAAATTATAAATGACGAATCAAAATCCAAGTGTGGAAAGAAGCAAACATTTTCATTTTTAAATCCATAGTGTCAATACTAGTATATAGTTTGAAGTGTCAGGTTTCAATGATGGATATCATTTTTTATCTAAAAATATCAATAAAAGTATATATTAATTAATTCCAAAGGTGATCTCAAAGAAACACTTAATATAATTTATGATATATACTAATCAAATCCAAGAGTGATCTCAAAGAAACACTAAATATAAATAATCAGACAACGTAATTTTTGGAATACGTTGTCTGATATTCATTATTCTGATGTTAGTGTCATTTATTCAACAATGCACGTCACCTCCATCCAATATGATTATACTTCAACTCTGAATCACACTTTATGTGCCATGAGATCCAATGCCTTGAACCTTATCGTGATCTTCACCTCTTAAAATTGACACAAACCTTGTTGAAATTATTCCATTGACATTGACTCTAAGATCTGGTCATCGTTGAATTAAGTTACATCTTTTGTATCAACAAACCTCAAGACGACGCTTGTCATTATATTCTCCTGGTGGACGTTTAACAACACGACAAAGCTGTAGCTAGTTGAGAGCTTGACGCAGTTGGCACATAAGAACAACATCTATCACTGATATCAATTTTTGTTCAATGACAGAGACAAATATACAGAGAGGATGTTGACAAAGCCAATGTGTGGTTCCCATTTGCAAGACAAAGTACGGACGAAATTACAGATTTTTTTTTATTCAACTCTAAATTGGCGTCATTGAGAGCTACGATTGATCTTTTCTATAATAATAGGCTAACAAGTCTAGCTAATGAGAGTTAACAAGATCTTAGTTAACTCTTGATATGAGATGAGATTACACAATAATTAAAGCTTGAGTTTGTATTTGATATCTATCCAACTACTTTGTACATTTATTGAAATGTTTTAGAATGGTACTTATTTCACATAATTTGTTAGTTGAATTTTACACTATATATAATCGATTTTAATACGTCAAGAACAAAGATTTCATTATTATAACTTCTCAAATCGATAGTACCTCTAGCTTTGACATTTATAGGAGAGAAAAATTTAGTATTTACTCTAATTGTATGGTTATTGAAGATACGAAAATAATGATCTGTAGATATTTGAAATTTAATATAGTCTTTGGATGAATACTTGTGAGAATGTTTCATCATTTTCTCCTTGTAAATCTCTGATTTTGAGCACCTGGAGTATGTGCCGGATTCAAAGTAACTTTACAGATGGTGGAAATCTCCAAAAGGTCATGCTCATTTGTTATTGGTCATGATTCATTTCCATCCAGTTCACATGTTGAGAAAGGTGAAATGAAAAGTTCGATCATGACGGTTCTTTTGTGCCCAAAAGGCTAAAGTTGTTTACCTTAGATAAAAATAATAATGGCCATGAAGTTATTGGCCTCTCCTCCTCAAGTAAGCAGCTGGTTATCTTCTTCCAGTAAATAAACTGTTCTCATGGAATGTACCTGTCCACTACTCCTCATGTGCTCGCTCTCTCTTGCCAGTAGAGCTATGGATCTTTGTTGGTTGATGTCCACATTCATTCATAGAGGGCCATAAATATAGGATGAAAGTTCATGCAAGATATTGTTGCATTGTCGATATCCCAATACTGTTGTATTGTCATTCGTAATTATACATCTCTTTGTTGTGTATCAAGTTAAGCGTCACCTGAGAAGAAGAAAAACTTTAGAAGATCGGAAGCCTTTCCTTTTCTTCTTCTTGATAGTTAACCTTTCATAACAATTCGAGTGCAAAGGATCACTTATGTGGATCCTCGCACACGCAAGAAATCAAGGAATATCACGAGTTTGGGCCGATGCAAAAAGAATCAGAAAAAGAAGTGTGGGCCAAGGAAGTAGCAAAGGGAATCGGAATAAGAGAGGGAAAACATGCAAAAAGAATCAGAAAAAAGTAGCGGGGGCCAAGTAAATAGCCAAGGGAATTGCACTACGAGATGGAAAACATGCAAAAAGAATCAGTTAGATAGAGTGGGGGCCAAGTCTATAGCCAAAAGCATAGGAAGAAGAGATGGGAAAACATGCAAAAAGAATCAGAAATACTTTACGGCTGGAACATGTGCGCATAAATAGTAAGTCACAAAGCCGACTTGACTCACATGGAAGACAAATTGTCCTCGACTTCCGCCTGGAGCATACGACGAGGCCTTTTCCTGCACTCAACGTCTTCCTCTGACGGTGATGGCCGTATTTCACTCGAACTATCAACCGCGTGAGTCCTTCGATACATCAGACCGGGCGAGTTTCGACTTCCACCATTATCATCTGCCCAATGTCAGAGCGAGTCCAGTCCGTCTTTCTTAGCGTAACTCAGCTTACAGCTCTCACTGAATCGCCAGTCTCGAGCTTTCTGCGGTTTGTTTGTTGAGGTGAGCCTGCCCGATTATCACTAGTCTGCTGTGTGGGTAAGAATTTCTGTGACCATGCAAGAGCATTCATTCGTCATTCCAGTGTGTCCAGACCACGTGAATTGACTCATTTGAGCAAGAATCGTCAATGGAAAGAGATGGGTTACGGACAAATGAGCGAAGTAACACTAAGCAATTTAATGGGCATGGGACAACTGGGGATGCTGTCCGTGTAGCGGTGTTGGAGCAGTATCAAAAATGGGTGTGTACTCTAGTGAGATTAAGTCACGAACCTCTAGGCTAGCTCGAGCACGGCGCTTGCCAGATTTGATAGCTAATAGCTCGGGGAGGGCGGCAATTCTATCTACGAACAGTGCACTGACAGAGCGCTTTTTACAAGGTTTCGAACCAATGGAAAGTAATGTGTCAGTCGAGCACGGGACCAGATACTCTTCAGGCGCATTTAAAACCACTCGCTCGATCACTAGCACACGCGAAATAGACATCAAGATATATTCTCCGCAGTCTTTTCGAGAGCAATTCCGCACTCGGGAACTCGGAGCACGAATCGAGCACTGCAGTGACCATTCGTGCGACAAATGGCACCAGGGCGGCGCCCCTTGCCCTCTGGGTGGATGATGATGGGCGAGGTTGATGCTACCCATTCAACCTTTGCCAGCCGGCCGGCGGAGATGAAGGCTCATCATGAGGATATTGAGCTCAGAATCTACGGGCCTCTTCATTTCTTCGTCAGATTAGGCGGCTCTGGCGGACATGAAGCCGGTTTCAGCTTGCGCGGCGAAGATGTGCACGCACACATGTTGGTACATATGCCATGGATTGGACCCTGGTTGAGGTCCAGCGACGTCATATGTCCTGTCGGAGAGCAGATTCTATGATGTACGAACCACGACAGGCGATGGATATTTGCAGGGGTGAAAAGTAGAGGCCCAGAAAAAGACATCGAGTGGTCATGAGCATAATATCCTGCTCTCTTCCAAGCATAAGAAAGCAGCCTGCGAGACTAGAGCCAGCCACTCTGTCGTTAGGTCATCTGATCATCTGATCATCTCATCTGAAGTTATGTGAATGGCAACGAGATGAGCACTTTCATGAATCATGATCGACACGCTCGGAAATTCCCGGTTCATGATTCACATTTTTTCATTGCACCATACGAAGGGTGAGATACTAGACAGTTTCTCAAGCTAGATGATTCTACCGCTGCAGGTATACATAGGCTCGATAAATAAATGTCAATTATATACAAATGAAGCCGAGGAGAGATTTCCTGCTCTATGCTCGTGCTTCTGAATCGTACCTGTTCACCGAGAAATATCCAGGTGCATATAAGCCTCTACTCTCCCATGAGCTCGGTGTCCACGACTAAACAACAATCCTCGAGCTGGAAGACTTCAACAATCCATATCCATTCCAGTCCCACGAAATTCGCCACAATATGATCAAGGACTGTCCCAGCCAGAAGTGGGAAGTGTAATGAGCTGTCTGGCATCGCTGTCGGTGAGGCTAGAGAGAGACTTCTGTACACGTAGCATCTCGAAGTTTCATAAATTGTGCCCGTCACTCATTATTTCTCCTCGCTCCTAGTTCGCATCTCGCCGTTCTCGAGACGCTGGGCTGATGTCAGAGGTGAGGATGAATAATGATGAACAAAAATGCCATGTTCCACGGGCACTGCGAGTCAATTCTTTCTCTCCCTCTCTCTCTATCTCTCTCTCTCTCTCTCTCTCTTCTTCGTCCTCCTTCAGCGGCCACGTCTCTACTGATCGAAATATATTCTGCTTGGTAGTCTGGGTTTGGCATTGACACGAAGAGGAACGGCGTTGCGGAGGACGAGCAGGTACTTGGCACTGGTGTCCAAGGTTTCAGGGGTGGTGCCCTCGGGAAGGGACCACTCGTACGCGTGCATCAGAGTGGCCAAGCTTCGGAACACCATCACCGTGCCCAATGCCATGCCCACGCATTTACGGCGTCCTGCGCCGAAAGGAGTCAGCTGATAGTCGTTGCCCAGGAGCCCGATGTTGGAGTTCAGAAATCTGTCCGGGTTGAATTCCATGGGCTTGTCCCAGTACCGAGGGTCGTGGGCGATGGCGAAGATATTGACGAAGACGGTGGAGTTCGCAGGGATGTAATAGCCGCCCAAAGTCGATGGCTTCTCGTTCAAGCGGGGCAGCGTGATGGGACCCGTCGTGCGCATCCGGAAAACCTCCTTGATGAACGCGTTCAGGTACGGGAGGTTCTGGATGTCCGACTCCTCCACTGGCCTGTCTCTGCCGATCACCCTGTCCAGCTCCTCGTGCAGTTTCTTCTGCATGTCCGGATTCCGAACGCACTCCAGCAAAGCCCACTCCAGTGTCGTGGCCGATGTGTCCGTGCCTGCCAAAACCATGTCCTGCACGCACAATCGAAGATCAGCTCAAGGCCTTGACTGCTTACTGTCTGTGGCATGGAATCAATCAATTGAAGGTGATTATTGAGAACCGTAGAGGAGATTTGGTCTGTACTCACGTGCAAGAGGCCGGTGATGGCTTTGTCGGAGATGTGGCTGCGCTCGTCCGTCGGAGTGATGAGGACATCGACGAAGTCCATCGCGTCCTTGTCGTCGGTTGCGAAGGATCCGGCTGCCTCTGCCTTGACTCTGCGCTCGCGATGCTCCTGAATGATCATTCCATACAGCTTTTCTGAGCGGATTCGAATGTCGCCCAGAGTCTTATTGATGCCTTGCAGATCGAATGGTCGCAGGAACCACACCAGGTCCGACAGGTTCAGCCTCCCGGCGTTGTCGAAGGTGTCTCTGATAAGCCTCTGGAAGTTCTGCAGCTCCTGCGTCACGGGAAGATCTGCTCCGTAGTACCGCTTTCCGAACATCATCAGGCACATGACGTTCATCGTCAAACTGTGAAAGTGGTCTCTCACTTCCATGGGCTCTCCTTTTTCATGGAACGATTGTACTGTTCGCAATAGCCTTCGGAGCTCCAATCCCCGAAGCTGTTCACGTGAAACAACAGAATCGAGTTGCTGTCAGATAGCTGGCATGCGCTTCGATGTGCCTCACGTATAGAACGGGAGACCAGTTTCAATCGATGGACAAACAGACCGGCAAACCTACACCCTCCAGTTAACTTGAAAACGAATCCATTTACTAATGGCATGCACTTAGGATTTGAAAGGTGTTAAATTGTCGGCAATCAATATTTCGATTTAGGCAGGTGGCCTGCACACAATCATCGAGTCTAAAGACTTCAATTGAAGCAAGAGAACGAGCTACGGGAGGCGAGATCTGATTTCTGACCTGGGCAGATTTGTTCATCCTGGCGACTGTGAAAAGCTCGGTGGTGCAGACTTTGCGGAGCATTCTGAGATGATCATTGTAATCCGAGAACACAATGTCCTGGCCGTCGTGTCCCACGTACTTGGCTGCGCTGCGCTGGATGGTCCGGGCAGATCTGTGATGGAACTCCGTGTCTCGGAGCCTCATACATTCCTCAGAAGCCTCGGCGCTCGAGATAACAATCAAGTTGTACTGTCCGAGCCCGACGCGCATCACATCGCCATACTTTTTCGATAGACTCCACAACACTTCGTGCAGCTCCCCTCCGAGGTAGGGGAGAGACCCCAGCACGGGCCACACTGGCGGTCCAGGAGGCAGTTTCTTGCCCATGAGTTTTACATACGGCAATACTATAAGATAGGCTACCGTGATGACAGCGAGCGCAATCCAGAATTCCGGGTCCTTCACCAGATCCATCGCCAGTGCTGGTGCTCGCTGCCATAGATCCTGAAAGTCGATGCTGCTCACCATCGAGGCCATAATTCCGGATTATTCTATATCTCAAGCTCAGATCCGTCTCTCTGCCGAGTGGAATCCAGGTGCTGAGTTATGAAGCTCGCTTGGCTGCTGGGATTTTTGAAAAGTGCATCCTCTATGGACCGACCAGCTCACTCACTCGCTCGCTCTCTATCTCTCTCTCTCTGTCTCTGCCCCCGAGGATCCGCGTCTATGAACAACCTGGAAATCGTTGACCTCAGCACTGACTGCTCGTGGTTATAGGCCCTGGTCCGGCCATTCGGAGATGATAAAGTGAAGGTCAGACGCCTTTAGCTTCTGATCCAGACAGACCATCGACAAGCAAGATGGCCTCGCGATGGCTGTTGTTCATACCGTTGACGAGGTGTCGATCTGATGACCTCTGGAGGGATGCCGATCGATGATAGATCGTGGCGAGGGACGGAGGGAGCCCGTGGAGTGCGACGACCTGTCAGGCTCAGAAACGCTCACAAGATGTGGACAAATGTCCAGAGAGGCAGAGAGGCAGAGAGCAGCAGCAGCAGCAGAAAGCGAGTCTCTCGCTCGCTCGCTCGCTCACTCGCTCGACTGACTGACTGGAAGCGCGAGGCTTCAGCAGAGTGGAGGGCATCTAGATCCTCCTCTGCAGTTCCCCACCTTCTCCCGATATACGAGGCTGCCGTGATTTCGCACGTCCATGGCGGCCTGCCTGGTCCGGTGGACCAGGACCCAATGCCTCCTCTACTCACTCCCTCACTCACCGCCATCGCCAAACTTGACTAGCCAATGCCCCGGTCGAGCTCAATTCGGAAATACGAAGGAGCCCGGAGATTCCGGCTCCACAGCTCGGCAGGCACGCACGCACGCACGCACGTAATCTCTGACGTCGTCGTCCGTCATGCAGCTCTCGCTTGCGGGCCGCAAATTGTCACGAAATCATTGCTCCACCGAAATCAGGAGCGAAAAGTCGCCCTCGCCGTCGGCTGCGAAGCTCGCAGTGACTTCGTGGAAGCAGATCGACGGAGCTGAAGCTTCTGCGGTCTGGCCTTCGGAGGGCCTACCGAGGCCGGCCAGCTGGCGCGTTGACCGGTCGACCGGCTGGCTGCCTTGCAGTGGAGGTCGGTCTAGTTCCGGAAAGGTTGCCGCCGAGTTAGATCTGGAGTCAGGCTAAAACTAGAAGAGTCTGTCCGCGCCGGTCGCCGACGTGTTGGCGGGTGCTTCGGGTGCTTCGGTTCGGCCTGTCCTGAAGAAGGTTCGTCTCTCTGGGACGGGAAACCGGAACCGGTTGCAGCCGGCCCCGAGCAGCGGCCGTCGTCTCAGCTCGGTCCTCGACGATGCCGATGCTTTTGCTTTCGCTCGGGCCCGCCAGCTTCTCGACGCTGCTCGGCGCCGCTCGATTGCCTTGAGCCCCTACCTAGCGAGGACTCTGAGCAGCAGCGAGCTGTTGTATGGCAGATCCGAGAATCCAGTTGCTGGAATTTGCGAGTCAAAGGCATCATGTATCACAGCTAGCTCGCTGGGTAGATGCCTCTTTCATGGCTTCGCCCTCGACCTTGCGAATTTGCGCCGAGTATGATGCTGAGCTCGGTCCTCGCTCGCTCGCTCGCATGCGGCTGCCGCCGAGCGGATGCGACGTGGACACGACTCTTCTCGCCGGGTGAATCGACCTGAAGGAGCATGCGACCGGGCAAGTTCGATTCGGGAGCCAGCCCAAGGCTCAAGGCCGTCCCTGCGAGTAAAACGAGCGCACAGTCGCTTGGATGCTTTCTATTATTGACATGGCGACCGAGTCTTGCTGCAGCTGGCTTGGCATGGCTTGGGCCATGCTTGCTGTGTCCGGGCGGGGGCACGCTTTCTTTATCTGACTGACTTTCGCGAGAGGAGTTCGTGATGTGCACTCGAGCTGAAGGAAGCTCGAGCTGCTACGATATGGACATATACAGGAAAGTCTGAGCACCAGCAGCCGAAAGTCTAGCCAGGCCCACAGACGGCGCTGGAGGGCTCCACTCGCTGGGCTTTGGGGCCGCGCCCGTCCCTGCTCGGGGAACAATAAGAAACCGTCCCTTGTGCTCTACGGTACAGCCACGGCCAGTCAACGCGACTCCGGATCAGACCAAACTAAAGGGCCATCGCTTGCTTGCTTGCTTCTAGCTCGATGCATTCTAGCCTGTTTTGTCCTCGAGACAATGCATCGGGAGATTCATCGGGAGCTACAGCATTATTGACCCCAGTGCTGGTGACTGGGATCTCTTTCCCGAATGCCGACAATTTCTAGCATCGTGACGCTGTCTCGTAGGAAGCATGCCATCTGCAGTGACGCAGGGATCGTGTACAGTAGTGGGTGCCACCTACTGGACGAATACTCACTCACTCGCTCGTGGGAAAATGTGATTCCCCAGAAGGCATGCGCGTCCTTGGTTTCACGGACGGGCTAGGTTCGCATCTGTCTTCTCTCACTCGTGGCGCAGTGCTAATAGGCCTGTGCTCGCTTTTCCATGGGGAACATCCCTCCATCCCCTCGACAACGGACCTCCACTGAACCAGAAGTGCCAACCAAAACTTCGACTGATCTGCTCTCTCTGGGTTCCATTCATTCGGTTCTCTCTCGGTCCCAAAAGTACCGAGCCTTTCTTGCGACTTTCGCCAAGGCACTTCATAAGTGCTTTAGATTCAACGCCCTTAGATTCAGGCTCCAGACTTTCGAAGGTTCTGAGCTTTCTCTTCTCAGCACAGCATCAAGGCTTTGAAGCAACGCAGCGTGCACAGTGCTTCAGAATCTTCCTTCATCCATGAGAGTGTTTAGTTTTGTCCTGCACGCGCAACTTTCCTGCGTGCGATCCATCCTACCCAGGTTCTTTCCAGATCAGAATGTTATATATCATAATTACGAGTGATTTTGTCAACCTTGTGTGGAATTCTAGAATGATGTAGGAAGAAGACATTCCATAATTACGTCATCTATTAAAAGGAATCTACCGTCCGTAGTTTCCATCCGTATGTAAATTTAATCTCCCGAATTATGCTTGAGGTGGAGGATACTGTCCGGATCTGCCCAGATCCCTCGGCAGATTTTTTCTCTGCTGTTTAACATTGAAGGTGTATATGTCGAAGCTGCTCAGAGACATGCAGCTTTAACGACACGAGTTTTACGACAACGAAGTTTAACTTGGGTGAATTGCACGAACATTGGATTCTTCACAAGACTCTCTTGATCGTCTTCCCGGGCCTTCTTATAAGTCTGACTGGGGACGATTTTCCAGACCATCGATTTGAATGTGACGACACAAAGACACTTCACAATCGATTTATTTCCAACCAGACTAGCTTTGGTAGCACAGTTTCCTGGCAGTGGCCACGCACTGGAGTGTCAGGCTGGGCACACTTTGGGGCAGCCCCGGCTGAGTCCAATTAGTGCACGGGATGGAATTTCTGGAAGAGCACATGTATCCGGGCTGAGATATAATTTCAGATCATGGGAAGAAAAGAAAATCACTTCTTCTCAGGACAGCAAAGGCCAGTGAAGTTTGAAGGTCGTCATCGAGTGTCTACTCGGTCTTCTTCCAGAAAAGTAGCACGAGGCTTGATCTCATCGTATGACCTTGTAATAATGACTTAGCGCTTTCTTCCCATGGAGTTAAGCTTTATTGTGAGTACTCAAGTTCAGGACGGGACTTCGACCGCGGTGTGGGGGACGAGGTGATCATGGCACCAGCTTCAGGACTATCTCGAGGCACGGTCAACTCATGGACATGCAACAGCCACAATTCATGTGATTGGTCGTGATTTCCGTAGCCTTCAGAGCAATTGACTATTAAATTCGAATCGAAAAGGATACGGAGGTGATCATGACACCAGCATCAGGACTATCTCGAGCCAGTGTCAACTCATGGACTTGCAAGGCCACAAATCATGTGATTGGTCTTGATTTACGTAGCCTTCAGAGCGATTGACTGTCAAATTCGGATCGAAAAGGATACGGCCTGGGCTAAGAATCCAACTAGATACAATAGGTAAAGGTCATATTTGAGCATCTGTCAAGTAGAGATAGCAATATTTTACGCATCTCGTGCTGGACTCAAGAGTTGCAGCCTAACGTATGATTTGCTGTTCCTGTCATCAGGTCAAACCGATCTGTCCAAATATCTTGTCAGCAGAGCCGGCCGGGTGATGGAACACAAGTCCAACAGGTGTCAGACATGTCGACTTCCATACTTGGTAAGTTCAGATCTAGGACATCTGCAAATCAGCACTAGCAGGATTCAATCACTTGAATAGCAATATATATGTTTGCTTGACTTATATTGCATAATCCCAGTGGACATGATCCAATGTTCAGCTTATCAATTTGTAGTACGATGAGCCCTTCGTTCTGTCATGATTCTGGTACGTGTGAGTCCGAAGTCAAGAGCATTGCTGGCGGTGACGCTGGGGATCTGTTTTTTGCTTTCAAATTACCTCTTTGACTTATTGCGAAATCAATGTTTGATGACAGTGCCCGTGGAGTGCAACGGCATGAAATCTGTTTCCAAACTGTTGGGAATTTGACATGCATGGGATCGGTATTCAAGTCTTGAGGTAATTCTTCTAGCTGTATGATTGCATAAGGAATTTTTTATCTAATACCGGCCTAATTTCTGCGTTTCATGCTTAGAATCACATAGATTTGAGCCGATCCAAATTTCTTGCGTACCACCTCCCAACAGATTTCTTCTCCGTCTTCTTCTTCACCTCACGATTTCTCCAATGCATTTGTACGAATTTGTGAGATCGAGGCTACTGATTGTTGATATCCAAACTCCTCAGAATTCCAAAAGATCAGAATGATAAAATTTCTCGCCCGTGTGCTTTTGACTGTAACAATAATAGTTCACCGGGCCCTTTGTATTGGAACTTCACGAATGTCCTACCAAGCTGAAAAGACTGTAATGACATAAATAATACAGAAAATTGAGATATAGTCCATCGTCAAAGTTTTGGGGAATATCATCCAGCAGGAACTGAAAAGACTGTTCATTCTTGGACTGCATGAAACGAAAATACTGTCAAACCTCTACTGCTATATTCCCTTCGTAATCTGACTCAGTCTGACTGCTAGATTGACTCAGTCCGTAGTTAGACGCGAGATACAGCCTTAATAACAGAATCATTCTTCCAAGGAAAGAAGCAATTTAGATAAACAAGATAACGTGTAGAGGTCGAGAATCGCCTGCTCACCAACTGCTGCAGACGAATTTTTCAAGTGTTTTCAAGGTCAGAATTACGAGTTCCCTAAACCTTCACTTTACGGAGAAGGAGAGGCTGCTGCTTGACTAGCGTAGATCCTTGAGATGTGTCAGCATGTGGATCGCAGCGCAATAGTGCTGACCTCTGAACATCGAGCATATGCAGTCTCCGTGGAGTTTGCCAATACTTGTTCGCTCTCGTTTAACATATAGTGGCAGTGACGTGCTGCCACATTCTGCAATTACTTCAAAGCTCAAGACTGTATCATCTGACTAGATACAGGTTTCAAAGATCCAGAAGCAATTGATAGGAGGAGAGATTAAATCTTTCTCATACTAGGTGAGGTCAAGATAGCCTTGAAGTTTTTGATTTTGTTACTTATTATGAAATCTATCGTCTTTAAAAAAAAATCCTCAGG